GCATGTAAGAACTGTATATAAAACCGAATAAATTGAAAACCATGTAATTTGGTCATGTGAAAATAGACCTATCACTAAATTACTCAAGCCTCGAGGAGAAGGCTGAAAATGTAATTTTACGCTTAGCGCGCGTTCCGGCGTTCCCCGTATAGAAGATTAGAAGTAAATAATCATAACAAGGCTTTCCCAAATGCGCGTGCAAGGTAAAATTTTTCTTAGGCTTTTGCTTTAGAACAGGTACGACAGCCAGAGCCTCCTTTATACTCACAAAGCTGGCAGTTCAATGACGGAGCCATAGGGTGCCTGGTCGCAGATTGGGAGCGAGAGGATCTGGTAGCACAGAGCATGAAAGAGCCATTTCTCGGGGAACCTGGACCTGGACGCCGAGAACCCCAAACACACTTCTTCGCTCGGGAGAAGTGTGTTTCGGCGTCTTGGTGCAGCGGGGCGCTAGTCACGTGGCTCTCCTCTCATTCGTTGTTAGTCGCTCCACCTTTTCCATTTCGGCGGCCGCTTCTCGTGGGGATCTGCCACGCTTTGTCGGTATATGGGAGGCTATAGGCTACAGCAGACGCCAGCACGTGCAGCGCGTGTAACTACACTCGTAGCATGCACCTTGGTGCTTGGGAAATTTATCAAAAGGTCTATTGGGACACTCTCTGTGTCTGCGTGCTATCAATACCCGGGGTGATGGAGTCAAGGCAATCCAATATAGAATTCCAAAGACATTGCCAAGTCGACAATTACCGCATCCATTTAGGCTTAGAAATGACCAGAATCGAAAGACTATCTAAAAAATGCAGCGACGTCATTGCTCGTGCTTTGACGCTTAAGTGAGGTAAGGCAAAGTGAAGGCCTCCTGACCCCACTCGTTGCTGACTAACGCGCCTGATATTCCAGCTACTACGACATATTAGTTCCAAAGCGAGCGACGCTCGCTCGCAGGGGCACGGCCATTTTTTTCCGCCGTCCTTACTCTGACGGTAACGTGACCGAAAACTCCCCCTTGTTGGAAAATGCGGCTAACATCAAGGACGTTTAAATAAGGCAGGACCTGGCATGACGTCATGCCCGACGACGCCGGAAAAAGGACCCAATCCCAGAGTGCCTTGCGCGCCGAACCGCTCTCATCCAAACTAAATCCAACCACGCTTCTAGCGTTTGCTCGCCGCTCGGTCGACTGTGTTAGGCTTAGGCTACGTCTGCTCCGTGCCTGCGGTCTGCTTCGTCTGCTCGTTGTCACGGCTGGCTTTCATTCGATTGACGCACCAAGGCCGCGCTATAACGACTCGTTCTAGACGACGCTCCAGACGCGGTGTCGAGATCGTCCGCTACACGCCGACTTCCTACTGGTCAGGCAAGTGTTGGGCTCCGAATCTCGCCTGTTCAACACCGATTCAGTGGACGCCGCCATGCCATTGATTTTTGTGGCAAACAAAGCGGGTTGCCACGGAAATGCCATGGCAACGAGGGTTGTTTGCCCCAAAAATCAATTGACGAGCTCCCCATTGGTGGAGAAAAGCTTGCGGCCACGCCTACTTCCGTTACAGCTCACTCCGTGCATTGGACATAGAAACGCCACCTCCTGCCCATCATAACCTCATTGGGCTAACCTTCTGCTGCGGTTAAAGTTAACTAGCCTCGAGCAAGCGGGCTCTTCAACATCAATAGATTCCGGTGCGCTTTACCATCCGTATACATAAACGCTTTACGCCACATGGCGAAGAAAACGAAAACATCACCCAACTGTAGAAGAAGTTGCTGCTCTTTAAATAATTATAGCCACCCCTCAAGAAGAACCAAGTCGGTGTTGAAACGTTGGGCCCCTAGTTTCTAGGGATTGTTTTGTGTTCCTTTTGCCCCTAAACTAAGGTATAAGCAATTGCATGAGAGGTCGTTTCCTAGTTCCTGAGAAATTGTTGAATCGTACTAAGCACTTGAGGAAGTATATCCTTGTTGGCAGTTAATACTTTTTTGTTGGTCGTGGTCCTGTTTTGTCTTCAATTATTGGTGTGAATCTCTCCGAATTCTGTTTGAATACACGCAGACTCTGTGTGAATCTGATCGTGTGACTGTGTTAGTGAAAGAATCCTCGCAATCACAATGACAATAAAATGGCGGAGAGAATCTAACAATCGATGAGCATGGAGAATGCTGCCAATTAAATTATTATCGTGAGTACAAAATATACTACATCAGAAATAGATTCACTCCTCGGACTAGTATGCTTTTGTCTTGGCGTTTTCCGTACGTGAAACCTCCTGCGTACGGTAGTACAGTGTACTTGTTTATTCTGGAAGGATTTTGCGTCTGATTCACGATGCCGGAGAATTATCTGAGAAATAATAGCAGCCGCACATTCACATTAGGCGAACAATATTACATTTGTAAATTATAATTATGCCATTATCAAGAATTCGGTAGCTTGATACTTTAGGCCCCATGTTACGCTTAAAAAAACAACAAAAAAATAGGGTGCGGGATGGCCAAAAAATACGCTTTTCCTGCAAGGCTCGTCGGGTTATGAGGTGCTGGATAAAACCAGCCTTCTGGGTTAAGTCCTTATTTCGAACTCTTTTTGTTCGCGTTCCACCCTTTGAAAAGCATGCGGAATGCGCCTCGGCACTCTCCTCGTATCCCAGCGCTGCAGCGTTTTTCTACAGCCAAAAGGCTGTCTGCTTTCATCACCGTCACTATGGCAACGGACGCCGAATGACCTTTTTGGGCGGCCCGTGTATCACTGGGGAGCGTGTTAACTAGGGATGTCGCGAACCGCTCGAAGTTCGAATTCGACGTTTTTTGAACTTTGCGACATCCCAGGGTTTCAATTTCTCAAAGTTCGGAACGTTCAAAACTGCCGGAGTTTGAATTCATAAAGTTCGAAGTCATCGAGGTTCGAATTTTTTTAGGATTTAAGTTCACAAAACTCGACGGTTTTAATTCCTGTATGATTCAGTTTCGCAAGAATCGATAATTTCAAATTTGTTCGAGCTTCAATTTCGAGAACTTCGAAACGATCGAATTTTTTGGGGTCTAAGCTCGCGAAGTTCGAAGTCTTCGAACCTCACGAAAACCGGAGTTCTCGTAAATATCGCGCGCTGAGCTCCAGAAGTTTTACTACGAATCTTACACGTGCCGTAAAGTCCATTTAGTGCTTGCTGCTTCGACACTACTCGGTACTGGCCACAACTTCTGGCTGCTGAGAAAGCCGACGCTCATATTAAGGCAGGCTATTTCTCTGGAGGTCCATGGATCGCGGTACCGAGAAAATACTGTACCACAGGCAAGAATAGAATTAACGCAGAACCCGACACAGAGAGAGCGCAAGCAGCACTCAACGACTAAACTCGAGGCCCCCAAAAATGCGGTTCAACAGGGTCCCCGGATGCATCCAGACCTTGTTCATTTTTTAAGCTACTGCTTCAAACATAAACAAGGCTTTGTAGTACACTGGACGGCGTACAATCAACCTAAATGCCCATACCCAAACACCGGTTACGAAATTTGGTTCTAAACTCGAGCCAACGTTTTTAGTATCTAAAAACTCCTAATCTAAAAACGTTGACTCGAGCGGTCTGTATACTGCTTCCTGCGCGTTTTTCTCTGGTGGAGTGGCGATGGACAGCGAACTAGGCTTGAGAGTCTAAACCTTCAATTTGTGGCTCACACGCCGTTCATCCGTGAGAAGGGCTCCCCAGATATACTCCATTCACCTCTCCGCCTTCAGCCAATTGCTTCTGCGCGATTCTTCTGCCCTTGCTGCCACGAGTATGCACGCACGCGCCACCAAAGCACCGCGGAAGGCAGCGAGCTGGCGCTGAAGGCAGAGCTTCTCTCAGCGGTTGCGTTGCGCGCTTTGTTCGCTTTCCGAAGCTACAAACAACGAAGTCTGGGCCGGAGCAGTCGACGCCAGTTGGGGCTCGCCAACGACGGGCAAAATAGGCAAGAAGTCGTGACGGGCAAAATAGGCATTTAGGTTTAGGTTGTGGTGGCTCCGCCTAGGAACCACGAATAAAAGTTTCGGCGCAAAATTTTGAATCATGATTAGATTCGCAGTTCGTCGAACTTTCCAAGATGGCAGGTTCGAAAGTATGATACTTTTCAAACTTTTAAAGCAACAACATCGAAAGTTCGAAAACCTTCGACTTTTTTAGTTCAGTGAGTTCGAAAGTATGTTAATCGCTAATTTCTTAGTGCATTAAGTTCCAAATAATCGAATTTTCAAATATAAGAAGTTCGGAAATTCGAAATAATACAATTTATAAACGCAAAAGGTTCGCCGAAGCGAAACTTCTCGAACTTTTCGACCCCCTGGTTTGAGCTCCAAACCTTAGGTTCGAAAAAAGTTCGCGGCATAGTGTTAACCCGCTCCCCCGCCTGCGTTCACGCCGCTTCGCGGCGACAGTCTGCGGCTGCTCATTACAAAACCATTAAACTTTGAATAGGAGACTGCGTTTGAAAAATCGGCGTTCGTTGCCATGGTGACGGCCTTTATGCTGCGGACAAAAAAGGTATGTCTCTCTAGCTTAGTATTTTAGTTCTGTATTGTTTAATTATATATATTATTTATTCATTCAGTGCACCACCTGTTTTGTTTTAACAATTGCTTGATAATGCATCTACATATTTATTTATTTATATTATTGTCCGTACCCCCCCAGGAGCTTAGATGACAAACGCCCTACTCTGATTGAATAGGATTTATTCGTTGACTAGAGTATACTTAATCATTTTAAATATGCTGCTAAGATAGTTTTTTGTTCTTAGCGTCGAAAAATGGAGAGCGCAACTGTAGATGTTTAAACTTAGCAGACATAATCAAATTCTCTGTCAAGTGAAGAGCAAATTGGAACAATAGGCTATGCTACTCTAATCCACAAATTATTTTGATTATCTTGAATGATGACTTCTAGAAATCAGGGGGGGGGGGGGGGGGGGGGAGGGACTTCCACTGTCAACGCGTATCAGGTCAAAAACGTTAGATAGAAGTAATTACCTACCTTTCCAATCATGTGGGTTCGGTAACCGAGGCGCTTGAGGTGTTGTGGCATAAAAGTGTATTTCAGTGGAACAGCCCATGGTTCCGCTGGCATGATTACGCCATGCTGCATACCTATAGGTATGAGATATCTTGATTTTGCGTCCTATATTGACGTAAAAATCGGGCAGCTATTGCGAAGACCGCAAGTGGTGCCACAGATATTTTGAATGACGTTCCAAGAAAGCGGTAAGATACCTTATCTTTAGAAATACTTCAACAAAATGCGACTTTAATAATGCGTTAGCATTCGTACCTACATGACAGAGAAAAGCTGACGCCGTCCGTCTGCAGACAAACCACTGAAAAGGGAAGCGTGCCGCGTAGAGAGGAGGAAAGTAGTGACAGACAAAGGCGAGATGGAAGCCAATGAGCGCGAGGGAAACCGGTGGACCGGGGAAGCAGCGTCAGGCAGCGGATGCCGCTGCTAAGTGTGCAAGTCAGGCGGACGAGACAGAGGGCGGAAGTAGCGCCAAGCACGGCTGGCCGAAATGCGACGCAAGAAGCGGCAAGCCGACGCGGGTCTGCGTGCGACAGAGACTGGGGCGACGCGTGCTAGCCGAGTCCTTTTTCGCCGGAAAAAATTAAAGGAAGATTGAGTGGTGGATCCTCAGGGAATCGTTATCATGACACTTGGGAAACGCCACGCACGTTCCCCTTTGAGAAACGGTAACGCTGACTCCGTGACAAAGCCAAAAATTGGCAACGAAACATAGAGGAAGTAAAAAAGAAAGCCAAGAGAGAAAATTGAAGGGGTTTGCGTTAGCTTTAGCCAAAGAGGGACGTGTGTGGTCTTTCCCAAAAGTCGTGCCAACGCGTTCAGTTCAATAGATATCCTTAAGTTTTTAAAACGCTCATTGAGTCGTCCTAATGCGCACCTATATTACTTACTTTATTAGAACAACTGAGAGCACAACATACTGCCAGGTTATCACAAAGGTTGGGCACTTCTGTCGTTTACAACTACTGACAGGTTACATCTTATTTTAAGGCCATCAGGATTACTTGAAATTGCGCGCTAACGAACAGCGTATAACATATTAACCCAGAGAAAACTCACTTCAATGCAACAGTAGTTTCTTTCCTGATATAGCGGACGGTTTTGTGAACCTTCTAATTATATATGTAACTAAGCGTCACGAAGTGTGCTTTACCTGTGAGATAGGGATAACGGCCTGTCATAAGCGAGGACCTCGATGGCGTACACACAGGCTGAACGTAGTGCTGGTTAAGTATGATGCCATCCGCCGCCATCGCATCCATGTTTGGAGTGGGAATTTGAGATGAACCATGAAAGCTTACGTCATCCCATCCCTATGGTAGAAAAGTCTATTTTATTATAATATTTATTACTCGATCCCACATACTTATTTGTTATTTCAAACATTCAACGCCAACGGAAGATGTATCTAACGAAGACACGCGTGCAGTAAATGTCGCCATGATATTTCTGTGATATAAATACTAAGCAAACTGTGTCTTAATCCTCGAAACCAAAACGATAGACCTGTAGGTTGAAGTAAGCGTGGCACCGGTTCTATTTTGCGGAAGCCTCTTTCTGAGGCGAAGTATATGTTTTTTGGCGTAAATATGAAGGCCCGTTCACACTCTTGCGACCTGTTAGAACTGGGTGCCTTAAAACTTCTTACAACGAGAGGACAGACTGGCGCCATATCTTGGGTAGCAGTGTGAACTTGGCGGCCCGGCATATTTTCTATTTCTCTCGCGCATTATCCGTTCTTTCTTGGCTCGAAAAGCGTTTGTTAACGTTATGAACGCGCCTTTCTTATAGGTATTACGCACGTTTGACCTCGGAAATCCGGCAAAACCTTCCCTCTTGTGATACGCAGTTCCAGGGTCACCGCACAGATGGCGCCAGAATGCCAGTGTGTTTCCTAGGGTTCCCTCGTCCTAAGAAATTTTGCGAGGTTTCAACAAGTCTCGTCTCTTTCGGTCGTACTTGGTTGCAGGAGTGTGAACTGGCCTTAAGTTTTGCTTACTGAGTGAGGGGAGTAATGTAAGAAAATTTCACTTTTCGACAATGAGATTGATACTTAGTTTACAAATGTAAATAAAAGACTAGGTCTAAAATAAATTAAAAACAAAATCAAGAATATTTACTGAAACCATGGAGAGAATACAAGGACCAAAGGTTGCTTTATTCTTGAAATGTTTCTTATGTTAGAGATATCTCACCGTTTCCTACATTTTCCCATTCGAATTAGTTGTGATTTAGTTGTGCTTCGTTTTGCTTTTCTGTGAACACATATAGCAATTGGTATCGTGCGACGAGATAGTGGCGCCACGGTGCTGTTCCTAGGAGATCCGGTTCGCATGAACCACGGCCGAACTGTCATAGACATTCTGTGTAGCAACCAACCTTAGCTCCGATCAATGTCAGTTTACCTGAGCTTCAACTTTCGGTTCTCCTATGTTTACCTTGTGTTTGCCTAGGTGCGCAACGACTCTTGATTCACAAGTGAGGAATTCCGTGAGAGCTACGCTTTAGAAATTCCCCAGTGTCGTGTTTTTAAGTTGCCGATGCGTATCGGCATGAACAAAATGTCCCGAGTGAAGTTACTTCGATTATCTTCAAACGAGGGACACCGCCGAGCCTAGGTGATCGCATGACGACGGCATTGGCAGAGTGTGCTAACCTGCTTCAATGTGCTTCCGATAGATGGCGCAACGCGACTAGCGCGAAAATGCGGCTCCGGCGCCGCGGCACCTCGACCGGCTAATTTCTGTACAACGATGGTTCATTACGGCGCGTACAAATGCAATGTGCACGGTGATCTAGAAAAGAAACCTTACACATCAAAAGACGCAATTCAAAATACTAGAACATTGTGGATTACAGAGACTCGCGTTGTGCCAAAGGAAAAGTAATAATAACATTTCGGAAGATTGTCTGCTAAAACCAAGACCCGGCTCGGCGACACCAACGGGAAATTTCGTCACGCATCTACGGCGGCTAGGGGAGGTAGGAGCAAACAGCCGAAACCTTGCCATTAACACACACAAAAAAAAAAAGGAATTGAACGCGTTTAGGAATTTTTAGATTTTAAGGAGACACATACACGCTACCTAAAAGAAAGTAACTAAATACGTTCCTCGTTCGTTACCAATCCTCAAAAGAACGAGTAGCTTTACTTGAAATGTTAGCGAGTTACTCTTCCCGTTACTAAACGGCCAAATACACGGTGTCACAAGAATAAAATTACAGGGTTCTTGTTTACCGCAAAAATAAACTAGGCATCACCGAACGCTCATTCTCCGCCCAAATGTAGAGCTAGAGGTTACAACCAGATGCCAAAGTTTCCGACCGAACGGACACCTTATTTAAAAGTTATAAGTGATTTTCTGAAAATTTCAATGGGAAAATGGGGCCCATTTCTGCCCGTTTTTGGTTTCTGGTGCCCATAGAGCCCCATGTATTCGAAAACTCCGTCAGCCGCTATTTTCCCATTGGAATTTTCAGACTATTTTGAATAAGGTGTCCCTTCGGGCTGAAACTGTGGCATCTGGTTGTTACCTCTAGCGCTAAATTTGGGCGGAAAATGAGCGTTCGGCGATGCCTAGTTTATTTTTCCGGTAAAAAAGAAAAGAAACTGTAATTTTTTTCTTTTTTGCACCTTGCACACAGCTGTTTTTGTTTCATGAAATATTGTTTCCTTCTGAGTATTCGTTGCACCTAAGCAGTAGCTGCCTCTCGAAGTTTTCGTCGGTTATGTTCCCTCGCTTCCTTGAGAATACATCTCCGGCGTCGCTGAAGAGTCGTTTTATTGACGCGCTCGAAGGAACGGCAGTGTTGTGCTCTGGAAGAGCTGGTGAATGTTGGATTCCCCTCTCTTTTTTGTTCTCTCTGCTGCTAAAGTTCGAAGTGGGCAATGGGTTTTGTGCCTTCCCGCGTTGGCAATCTCTCGGTTTACATTCGCTCTGTACACGATTCTAGAAGGTTCTACCAACGAACCCATGCGGAGAGGAAGTCGTCTGCTTCTAGCACATGAGTTGCGGTTACGTCAGGACGACGCCGAGCTCTGATTGGCTTTGATTGAAAGGATGGTGGGTAAACCTTAAGGCGCTTTTAGTTGTTTTAATTTTTAATTTAATTTTTTTTTTATGTGCCAATAAGAGTTTGGCATTCTGACATCATTGCAACTCCTGCAAAGAATCAGGCATACTTGCGCTGCGCATTGTGTTGCCGGGTGAAAGACATTCTTGGCTGTAGTGTTCAACCAGGGCTGCCAACCCAAGGGAAATTTCACAGAGTAAGGTAATACTCAGGTCTATCTGGGAATAAGAGAAATCTTGCTGGTTTGAGGGAAATTTTGGTCACCGTATATATCTAAAATTTTTAAAGGTCAATTTTAAATTTTTTTTGATAACGTTGACCGCTCATTCACACTGGAAACGGATCAGCGTTCGCAAAGCGGTTGCGAACGCTATTGTATACACCTCGCAAGTGGGCTCATTTTCGTCTTCTGCGCATGAGAAAGAAAGTAGCGGTGACGTCAGAACGCCGAGCCCTGATTGGCTGATCGCGACCCCCTATCTGAGCGTCGTCTGCTCCTTTGCAACGTCGTCTGCTCACAACGTCGTCTGCGTCTGTCTTACCTTTCCTGCGACATTCGGAAGTCGAGCGAGCTCGACTTCGTCTTTCAGAGAGGGCAGACGAAATAACTCGAGCGGTACGTTTTTTTTGTCTAACAACTAGCAGACGCGCATCAAGGAGGGAAGTCAAAGGACTCACTGGCGAGGTGTCCCGAGGCGCCGAGGTTTGTTTGCTAAGAACGGAGAGTGAGGGTGGTTAGTGTCCCGCAAGTTCCCTCCCGAATACTTTTTCCTTCTTTCGTGTGCGGCGAGACTCCTCACTCTTTAACGGCGTCGGCGGGTTGGCGCATTTAACGTCGTCTGCTTTACGTCTGCTAGTCAAAGCGATGGCTGCTTTACCTTTCCTGCGTCTGTCGGAGATTCACCGCTTTTTTACCGGCGAGAGCCACCGTCGCTTCGGAAAACAAAGAGATGGCAAGAGGAAGAGATTGACCTCTTAATCTAAAATTGAGGTCAGCGATCAAAGTATAAGACGGGAAGGCTTCGTCGCGCGCGCATATTCCATTCAGCGCGCCAGCCGGTCGTGGGCAGACGGTCGCCGAGTCGGAGTGCCTGCTAGGCCTACCTGCCGTGCTCGCTTGGTCGTTGTCGGTGGAATCGTGGCCGCTTTTCCCGGGTGTTTGTGGATCCAGCGTTCTTGTTCGTCGTGGTCTATTTCAAGTATACTTTTTACTTTTTTCTTGCTGCTTGAAGTCGGGACGCGTGAGAAGCACACGTAGAAAAATGAACGTCCGTTGGTCGTCGCGACCGCGACGCTGTCGGCCATGCTGATTTGATCGTGAGAAGTGTGTAAGACAGCTTCGGAGCTGTCGTAGGATTCCGTTGTAACCTGCGCAAAACCTACGATAATTTCGTTTCGTGAATACTAATTTGTTCTCAGGTTTTGTCTTACGCACATTTTTGGCGTAAGATCGTTTCGTGAACCTGGCCTCTGCACTTTCGAAAGTCGCAGGAAAGTTAAGACAGACGCAGACGACGTTGCGAGCAGACGACGTTGCAAAGGAGCAGACGACGCTCAGATAGGAGTCGCGATCAGCCAATCAGCGCTCGGCGTTCTGACGTCACTGCTACCCCCTGCGCAAGAAGCAGACGAACTTGCCCTCCGCATAAAGATCTAGTACGATTTCACGCGCACTCGATGACATCAAATGCGCGTGCAATAGTACTGGGTCTTTATACAACCACGTTCGTAACCGCTTTGCGAACGCGTATCCGCTTCCAGTGGGAATGAGCGGTGAATGTTAGCTGTTTCGGCTATATTTGGGTTATTCCCTCCAGTCTTTTGGCGGTTTGTTGTGCGACCATCCGGCAACACTGAGTAGCACTCGAACAACGTTCTTCAGCAAATCAGTTTTCATTTCCCCCCTCGTCGCCATGGAACATGCCGAGGTGGGACAAGCCAAGTCGACGCTTTTGGGAGCACCGATGAGCCTTCTTAAAAATTAAAGTTTTAGCACATGAGGAAATGCTGCAATGTCTGGTGATACAGACTAACCATAATCGGTCAGTCGGTCGGTACAACTTTATTGGTGCACGATAAAGGAATTAGGAACTGGTGAGAAGCCCACGAAAGATCCCCGCCCAGCCCTCCCCCCCCCCCCCACCCCCCTCCCCCCTCCCTCAGACGACGACCAGGATCCTCTGGACCCCGTCGGCCAGTCGGACTAAGTCTTCTTGGACCCGAGGGTCTGAGCTGAGCAGAGTGGTCTCCCAGCTCTCTTGATCTCTGAGCTCCGTCAGTAATTTATTCGCGCACGCGCCCCTATCTATGTTACTACACTTCCACACCATTTGTCTCAAGTTCGTCCTCTGCTCAGATAGTTGGCACGCGCTCGTGTATCTGTCCGGGTACCACCGATTTAGTAAAGCCGAACACGAATAGGCGTTCGTTCGCAGACGTCTCCATACCGTTGACTGTCTTTTGTTCAATGAGGGGTGCGCAGGGGAAACCTCGCACTCCCGTTCGTGTACTGGTTGAGAATATCTCTAAAGGTCACCAGCCTGTCTCTCCCGGACGACGCGACGGGGGCCCCAGACGTTGTGCCGGCCCGGACGGTAAGTCCTCGGGCCGCGTCGGGAGCCTCCTCGTTGCCAGGGAGCGGCGCGTGTGCCGGTGTCTGACGTGTCTCACTCTTTCTTTCACACCGAAGTACGTCGCACCCTCGAGGACGCGCAGAGTCTTCAGCGACACTCTCCCTTTGGCGAAGTTGCGAACCGCGCTCTACGAGTCGCACGTAATTGTCCTGACGCCGGGCTTGCTTAGCGCGAGCGCCACCGCCACCTCTTCCGCCGTGTCCGGGTCGAACGTCTTCAAGCTGCAGCTCGCGACGAGGTTTCCGTCACCGTTCACCACCGCCGCTGCCATGGCTCCTTTTCCCTTGTACTCGGCCGCGTCGACGTACGCGACTCCCTCCTCTTCTTTTAGCGTTCTTCCCAGGGCTTTGGCGCTCGCCTCCCTTCTCTTGGCGTCGAGTACGGGATGCATCTGTTTTGGGATGGAAGAAATCTGCAGCATCTCCCTGATGTGTAGGGGAACGTCCACTTTCTCGCCTCTCTGTCTCTCGTACCGGAGGCTGAGGACCTTGAGGATGTGCCTGCCAGTCGCGCTCCTCGTGAGCCGTTCCAGCTGAGCCGTTCTTTAAGCCTCGATGAGCTCGTCAATTGTATTGTGTACCCCTAGGGCCGCCAGCTTCTCGTTTGGCGTCGAGTCCGGCAGCCCTAGGGCTCGATTGTATGCTTTCCGCACTATACATTCCAGCTTAGACTTTTCGGCCGCTCATCACGAACGCCAGCCGGCTCGTCACGAAAGCTTGTACCAGGTGCGTGAGGCAACCTCCTTCATCCCATAGTTCCTGTTGGAGATCCGGGCGATGAGCCGGGCGACCAGATGGGCCGTCTCTCCCAAGGCTTATATCATCTCTCTGTTCTTTTTATGTGCCTGTATCCGCAGGCATAGCACCCTGATGCTCTCGACCTTGGGGATGCGGCGCCATTGCGCAAAGAGTTGGATGCTCGATTTCTCCTTCCCGCCGAGTTTTGATCTCAGCTGCAAGAGCTCCGACTTCTGCGGAGAGCACGCCAGTCCCCTGGAAGCTACGCACTCTTCTACGACCCGGATCGCCTCCTTCAGTATTTCCTTTATGTAGCCGTCGCTGCCGCCTGTCACCCACAGCGTGGTGTCATCGGCGTAGATATTGTGCTGCAGTTCGACTATCTTTCAAGTTTCTCGGGCAGGCATATCATCGGCGCGTTGAAGAGCTACGGGAACAGCACGGATCCCTGTGGTTTTCCTCTTTCCCCGAGGCAGATGTCTTCGGACTTGGCCCCACCGACCGCCAATCTTGCCTTCCTCCCGCTCAGGAAGTCCTGGATGTATTCATACGTCCGCTTGCCCACGACAAGCGCACTCAGGTTGTCGAGGACTGCGTCGTGTATAATGTTATCGAAGGCCTTGGTAAGGTTCAGGCCCAGGATCGCTCTGGTGTCGAGGGGAGAGCTCCCCGTTCCATCCACTATCTGATGCTTCAGGCGCAGCATCGCGTCCTGAGTGAACAGATGCGGCCACAAGCCGACCATGGTGGCGGAAAGAGCTCCTTATCATAATGATTAAAAAGCGCAACAAGACGACGGACAAACAAGGAGGAGCCACAGACAGAGCGCTACTTACAACTGAACTTTATTTCCGCTGCAGCTCGGTATATATTACCGGGATGCAGCGGAAAGTCGTCGTCGTCTCGTTGCGCTTTTTAAACATTATGAATCACCAATTTGCCCAACTTTCTACCCTCGTCAGCTCCCTCTCCTCCATGTACCCGTTCAGCCTCCCTAGAATGACGTGCTCTATGAGCTTGCCCGCGCAGAAAGGTAACGAAATGGGTCTCAGGGAGTCTAGTTGCGGCCTCTTGCCCGTCTTGGGGACCATTACCACCTTGGCGGTCTTCCAATGCTGGAGGATAGAGCCCCACTCCCAGCACGCGTTTATGTATCGCGTTATGCCGGTAACGGCTCCGTCCCCCAAGTTGCGTAGCATCTTGTTCATCACCCCGTCGGGAACCGGGGACGGCTTGGTCTTGAGTCTTAGCAGGACCTCCCTCACTTCCGCTTCGGTGATGGGCACGTGCAACTCCGTGTTCCTCTCGCCGTCGTAGTCCATGGAAGCTCGGGGTGGGTTGTCCCCTATGTACCTCTTGCGGATCTCCTCCATAAGGTCTTCGCCGGTCTCCTTATGGCGACGCAGGATCTCGCTCTTCTGGGCCGTCTTGGTGCCGTCTGGATCGAGCAGGTGCCGAAGGGTGTTTCAGGTCTTCAGAGCGCCAAGCTGCTGGCCGAAGTCGTCGCAGGGGTCTTGCCACTGCTGTCGCGTGATCTTGTTGGCATGGGCTTCAATCTCGTTACTTAACTTGGCGATCTTACGCCGAAGGTTGCGGTTGTGTCTCTGGATCCTCAGCCTCCTCTGCATGCTGGACTTGGCCTCCCTCATGTGCAGGAGCTTACTGCCCGCAGTCAGCACATTCGCCTCCTTTGGCACGGTCTTGGTCGCGTGCTCGGCGCAGGCCCTCAGCTCTTCCATCCACTCCTCGATGTTCTCAGTGTCCTCTTCCTCAAACTCTTCTAGAAATCCTCTGAAGGCATCCCAATCCGTAATACTAATCCTTGTGCCCTTCGGTTTCCCCGGGCCGGCTATGACCGTCACCGCAGCCACGAAATGGTTGCTGCCGAGATTTTCCCAGGTGTTGATCTGCTCCGCTCGTTTCACGTTCCGGACGAATGCTAGGTCCGGCGTGATGTCCTTGTGCCCTGCATCTCCCCTCCTGGTGGGTTGATCTGGGTCAGTAATCAGAGTCAGTCCTCTGTCATGGGCGTCATAGCCCAGAGGTTCCTGCCTCTCACGGTCTCCGTCAGGTACCCCCAGTCTGAACGCGGCGCGTTGAAGTCGCCGACGACCACTAGGGCCTGTTGCTTTGCGATCTCCAGGGCCGCCCGGAAGAGTGCGGCGAACATGTGACGCTTGGCGGGTTTACTGTAGACGTTGAGCACAAAGACGCTGCGCCCTTCCCTTTTCGTGTTGGATATGATCTCTATCAACACGTGTTCCACCGGCGAGATCCCGCGTGCTCTTTGACGGGTAGGTTCCTTTTGACTAGCGTCGTGACCCGCGTCTTCTCCTTGGCATCCTTATACCGTATGCCCTGTAGCCGGAGAGCTTGGCCATGCCCCACGTCTCCTGGACGGCGATAACGTCGGGTGTGCTCTCTTCTTCTTTGAAGCTAACGTACTGCCTGCAGATTCCCCCTCTTCCTACGGAAAATCGCGGCAGTTCCACTGCCAGATGACGTACTTCCTACAGCTCCGACTCATCTTCGTTATTATAGCCTCAGTCTTTGGTAGTGTGATGTTCTCTGTGACTCTGCTGTAGTGCGCCTAGGCGTCGAATGGGCTCGGCGTGCCTTGTGCTAATCTCGAGCTGCGGCTCTGCAACACGTTCAGCACCCTCTCCATGCACCCCGTGAACGCGCTCTCCAACATGCTCTTCGTTACGAAGCTCTCTTCGTCCCCTCCAACGGGTTCTGAATCACGCGCCTCTCTTCTCGCACGCGCCGTGACGCGCGCCCTCCGCTTCAGTGGCGGTAACGCCAATTCACTACCATAAGACTCCGCGGAGATTGTCTCCCCCTGTGCGTGTACAACCTCTACTAGTGCATCCTGCTGTCTCTACTGCATTGGTTGGCTTTGGATCGACTGTCCGGGCATCTGATCTATCAGTTGCTCTAGCTTCCTCTCTAATTCCTGCTCTCTCGTCTGAGCTTTTCTCTCGTTCTCCTCCGACCGCCTAAGTAGTTCCCCATTTTGTCTTTTGAGTTCTTCAATCACTTTCTCACAGATTTTTATTGCATTTCTTCCCTCGCCTGCTCTCCAGCTGGAGGAAATCGTCTTTTCTTCCAGCCTTGTGGTCAACCCATCGAGGCCGGCTTCCTCAACCACTCTCCAGCGTTGATGCCCCCTGCTGCGTATGCTGCGCCTTTTGCTTTGTTTCGGCGTTCCACGTCACTTGTTGGTTCCACTGGCGTTCTTGTCTCTCACGTGTAGAGGTGGGGCTCCCGGCTTGGGAGCGTTCTTTTACACTCCTTGCTCGCGGTCTTAAGCGGCTGGTCACATATCTTACATTTGTGTTGATATTTGTGGCTTTCCCGGGTCATCTTTTCTCCGGATCTTGGACACTGGTTTGTGTCCGAGTGCGGGCGGACGTCCTGCCGGTGGCCCACTTCGCCGCAGGCCCTGCAGTACTGCACAGACCTCCTATGCGGTCTGCACCGTGTGTATGCACTGCCCACCTTCACATAGAAAGGCACGTGGGGCGCCTCAAAGGTTAGCAGCGCCGAGAGTGACTTTCTTAGCATTCTGGCGTGCAATATGTTGTGTCCTTTCGCGGATAGTAGCTCCATCAGCTCCCGTTCAGACGTCTTTGCCTCGATTCCGTGTACCACCCCTCTCACACTTCCGGGTATTGGTTTGAGGTATGGTAGAAGATCGTAGGTTACAGTCCCCAGCTGGACCTTTGTAACGTCATTTAGTTTCAACGCAAAGTCTTCGCTTGCCGTGCTTGCCACGATTAGATTTTGTGCCCACTGCGTCTGGATTGTCACGTGTGCGTAGAACTCCTTGGTTGGTATTTCGGTTGCAATCGCCAGGCCTTGCGATATGGCTTGGTCCGTTCATGATGCCACCTTCATCCCTGTCCTCGGCTTGAAGACGACCTTGTACTCGTCCTCCGGGAGTGGGGGAAGCCTTCTTCATCTCTGGGAAACTCCAGCATCTCCCCTCGATCGTTGGTTGTTGGCAGCTTGCCCCATTAATTCCGCCGCGTCGGCTTTCTTCTTCTCTTTTTCCACCTTCCTGCGGTCGTTGATGATTATAACCCACGGACCGTTTTGGTCCAGGGTCCTGCCGCTGTCATCGAACTCCGCGGCCACTTCCTCCACGTCTTAGTCTTTTTCGTCCCACATGTCGATTTCATCAGATATTCTTTCCGTCGTGATTTGCGTAATTTTTGTTTATACGCACCGAGCCTAACGGGTGTTCTCCCGGTTAGGCCTACGGTTAGGTTCAACGTCAGCTGCTCTTGGCCGCACAGGTGTTGACGCCTGTTCATTTCTCGAGGCTCAGCTTTTCCTCCCAGTGGTGCGACTTCAAGAGGAAAAGTTTGGCTTTGAAAATCTACTCACAAGAATAAATGGCGTGTCCCTCGATTTTGCTTCTCTTGCAGAATTCGCTGGTACCATAAATTTGGAGGAGCTTCGAATAATTCCGCAATAATTGCCGCAAATTGAGGGAGCCAATGTCAAGCCCGAGAGCCCCCTCCCTTTGTCGTCGTCGTCCGACTTACCATGATCAATTATATTTCGTAAAGTGCCATGCACGAAATGGTCCTTAATGTGTGTCATGCTCCGAGTGTTCTAGTTTGAGAACTCTCGCTTTTGTTACATCTTTAGTTTGGGACTGAGGGCCGGTTGCACCAACGTCGCTTAGCGCAAAGCGGAGCTTAGCCGGGAACTTAAGCTTAGTTTCGGTTTCGTTCGGTTGCACCAAACTCGCTTATCGCTAAACCTAGCACTAAACTACGCTTAACTTAAGCGCTCAACATTGGGCGCTTTGCTTCTGTTTGTTTCTTAATCCTGGATTAGAAACATGGCGGCTGGTTTGTCACGGTCGACGCGGTGGACGAAATTGGTTGTGCAAAGTGTTTTAGGCTACATCAGCGTGAAAGTTTCGACAAAATGACTTTCGATTGTGACAAGGATGCAAAATATTGTCGCGTGAAGTGCTGATCGACCCCTGTTTTCAAGTTGGCTCTCCACTTTCAGGGCGTGTTAGCCCTAACCGAGAAACGTACGGAGCTGTGGGGCTCACGTCTGTATTCCCGTTGGTTCTTCTGTCAACGAGCTTATTCGTATGTACTTACTAATTTTCGCATAGCTGTAACGTATTGTTATTTACCACCTTGTTTATCTACACTTGCAGCGCGTATCCTTCATTCTGATCAGCGCGTTGAATAGTGGCAGTACATGATCTCGGCGATCAGCTGATTGTCGACACCTCTGCCGTTTGCATTAGATTGCGGCGCTTTTAAGTAATAAAACAGCGAAAATTCAATTTCTTTCGTTTTCTGAGTTTTGAGACAATCTTCAGTGAATTTTCCTTATCTCGCGAGTAGAATCTTGGCTTCAGAAAACAGTATCGTTCCATAACTGTAACTTTTTTGGTGATCGCATTTTCTTTTATATACTTTGCTTTATATCTTTCATTCGTTTCCCGAGAACGAGATACTGTTGTTTCCGAGTTGTGCTCTGTGATGGTGTTTTCCCTTTACTTTTGTCGTTTGTTGTCATTGTGACGATGGTTGAGACTATATACCGGAACACGTTTTCAATAAAATTCAGTTGAAAGTTGCGCTTTGTTGTGTCCTCCGTAACTTTTTTGGTGATCGCGATTTTTTAGGAATATTTTGCTTTATATCTTTTATTCGTGGCGACGACAAATCGTAACGACTACTATGTTAGATTCGTGCATTGCTGTATCGGGGCAGGCTGGGGTAGGTGATGCGAAGAGACGACCGTTCTTATCGGCACGATGTAATGTACTAGTGGGAGTTTTTTTTGTTTTTTTTTTTTCTGAACTCGACAGTGTGAAATTGAAGTCCGTTTGAGGCTGCAGCGGATGTTCAACGACGGTACAGTGCAGTTCTGTCACCTTGCTGATAGCAACGAGTACCGTCGATGCAAGGTCTCGTGACCTGACCTCTCGATGACTTCTATTCGACGATTTCCGGGCATTTTCGCAGCTGCCGTGGCGAGTTTGTCACTGTTTTGAACTTCATCGCTCTCAGGCTTGACTTGGTTTTAGTAGTCATCTTACCTGCCTACTTATATCCATGATGTTTTGTCTTCAGCGATGTAGCGAGTAGAGTGTCCTTCTCGCGTTCGGTGAGATTTGGGGCCCCCGATGGCTCCTTCGCCTCAAAATGTGAGCACGAAAACTACTACCACTGTCAAAATATCCTGTTATCAACCGATATTAAACACACAATCACAGATGTAAAGAGCATTCGTGTTTATTTGAAGCTTTGACTTCTGTTATTGAAAGTTAAACGAAAAAATGATTGAATTTGGAGACCTTTAATTTGTTACTCACCGAAGAAATACAGCGAAAAGCAGACGCCGACGACAATTACTACGGCAGTTTTTTTTTTCTTTTTTTTACATCACGTGATTCCTCTCCGCCAATCGTATTCGTCGCTCTGAGCCTTCCCTAGTTTGCTCTGTTTGTCCCTAGATTCCCTACGCAAATCCAGCGTTTAGCTAGGGGCGCGTCTGTAAAGCCGGCTTAACGTTGGTGCAACCGGAATTTAAACCCGTGCTTACCTAAGCTCGGTTTAGGGCACTAAGCCGGCTTAGGAAAGTGCCGCTTTGGGTTAAGGTAAGCGGCGTTGGTGCAACCGGCCCTGACTATTATAAAAATTGCTAATGAAGTTATTAAAGCAGTACGATGTTTTGATGAGGTGCATAACATCTAAGATGAAAATAAGATTCCATTCGACAGTTCGGATCTCTCTTCGGCAGATTGGCTTTGGCCATGATTTTGACCCGATAAACTAATTTTTGAGAAAGTATGCGTGGCGTAAATCATATATAATATATATCTCATGGTAAAAGTGGAGCTGATGCAGAAAACAAGATATATTTAATAGTACACAATATTTGGGGCAAGCAGGGAGAATTTCCGTAGAAATTCCGGGCGTCGGCTAGGGACATTTTGATTTTCCGTTTTGTCAGCCCCGAGATCGACGACGTGTTCAGCGATAAACGATCGTATACTTTCACACTATTTAGTTGTTTTTCGGGTTGCTCATATGCCTCTGTCGCGATAGACGCGAACTCAGGTTTGAATTAAAACGGGGCCGTTCGAGACCTTTTAGTGTTCATGTTTTTGTTTTTTTTGCTTGCAGTCTCGGTGTTTATGTCAAATTCTATCTAAACCCACTCGTTTTTGCCCTTAGATTCACTTCAGGCTGTTTAAAGGTTGAGGAACACGTTACTCTTCAAAAGCCACGAAATATCTTTACTCGTTACTTGTCCTTAGATGTAATGAAATACGTTACTCGTTCCTTTTTTTTTTTTTTTGAAAAGTAACTAAATACGTTACTCGTTACCGAAA